GCTCCCAGGGCCCTACACTGTTCTCAATCATTCCCCTCAGCGAAGGGGTCAGCCTCTGATTCCTCCCTGCCCCATATTTGACTCAGCGGGGCTCCAGACTCATCCGATCACCGGCCCAATCTTTTCTCTCTAGAGTGCGAATTTTCTGATTTACGCTTGCAAATTGTACATCTTCAGCAGTGTTGAAAGCGGGAACACAATCTCTTTGGGGAATATATTTCCTCCACAGCTGAGGCTGAGCGTTCTCTAACTGAGCTCTATGTCCCCCAAGTATTTCTTCTTTTTTTTTTCTCAAAATGGGCAAGAAAAACAGAGATAAGAGGAGTCTTATAGCATGTATGAATTCATGAGGAAGCTGCTGGGGAACTGTTGCAGTAGAAACCAAATGTGTTCCCCTCATTCAACATGTGGTGGTCAGTTTGCTCCTGATTTACATCTCAGTAAATCTCCGGCCCCATATTTCCCTTCCTTTGCATCCCTGTGATGTTCCGTGACAATTAACATCCCAACTCTTTCTTGAGATTTGTTGAAAGCTCGGGGGCTAATTCAAGGGTCAAGCAAGACTTGCAAGCTGTCAGTCTTTTATTGTAACCCGAGTCCCCCTCCCCCAATCGGGTTTCTTTATTCCGGGCCCCCCTCCTTCCCCTCCATTCTCCCAGACCTCGTTTAATAGAATGGCTGGACTCTTCTTCTATTCTCCTGAGGTCCTCTAACAGCTAGAGAGGGACAACCAGGAGCTTTGTCTGAGGAGCCCGGCATTCTTTCACATCTGCCCCTTGTTTTCAGACCCCCGCTGCATTCAGAATTCAAACTGTCCTTTTTCAATCAGCCCTCCTCCCCTCCCTCCTAATAACCCCCTTCCTCCCACTTACCAACTCTTTCATTTTTTTGTCTGAAGAAGACCAACTGACAATTTTGTCACTCAGTTGTCAATTACAAGGCGAATATATCAAGTATACATATGTTTAAAGCCTCAGGGCTCGCGCTCCTGTGGCTTCTCCGTCTCTCAGAACACTCGAAACATCTGTGCCGATGGCTTCATATTTAGCCAAAACAGTGTGATGCCTGTTGACGTCTTAGCAATCTGTGCTTAACAATCAACAGAACACTGCCTCGATCATGTGTCTCCTGCCTGAGAAGCAGCCGCGTTGACGTCGATGCTCTTAATGGTTCGTCTCCCCTCTCCATGAGAAAAAACTAAAATCTAAACCTTGGCCTTGCTGCAGAAGGTTAAACCTGCTCCGAGATCAGGCCAACCAGTCGAGGGATATTTGAGAAAACAGTCAAGGTTTGGTCGGCGGCGTTTTGTAAGGTGAAGAGAGAAGAGAAACACCCAGCTGAGAGGGGAGACCTCTGCACAGTTAATGAGAAGAATGGCAGCCAGGCAGTCTCTCTTCAGTCTGCGCCTTTGGTGCCTCAGCATGTTAAACACTCACAGCATGATACAGAACATATTAAAGTATAGGACTGTTATCATCGATTTACAGAACACCCATCCCCACATACTACCGTTTAACATTCTGCATTTCTTCCGTTACGGGGGGTCTCAACTGCCTCGGAGGCAGAGCTGTTTAAAGGCATCTTGTCTTTGTCTTCACATACTGACACCAGAGGTCTGTTGAGCATGCTGCCTCTGTTTTGCACTAAGCAATGATGACAGGGAAGCAAGAATAATCATGTTGACTCAACACTGTTATCTCAGTCTGAGAATTATAGTTTTTTTTTACATATGTAAACACCCACAGCCTCCAAAGACTCAGAAATATACTGGAATGCATATTTGTAACAATAGTAAATAATATGGTGCTCCGTCATATGGTATTTTATTTGCAAAACTTGATAATATACTACGTGGAATGAATAGTTTTGGGATTAAAGAAGTAGTTTAGTATTTAGTGTTTTGGTGCAGCAATTTAATCCACAGCATTAATCTCAACTGTGAAAAGATCAGCGTGTTTACGTGCACACTAATAACTCACGTCTGACCAGCGTGAGGCAAAACACAAATAATTTCACCTATCATGTAAAGACCTTAAACCAGGTTAGCTAGCCCGTGTCAAGGTCGCGAGCCATGCAGGTGCAGCATCAGTCTTTGAAATTGCACTTGGCATGTATATCCCATAGTGTCTGTGGTGTTTTCATTCTGTGCATGCACCGCAGAGGTCACGGAGCGAGCCAGATGGAAAGTGGGACTATATTTGATAAAAGAGTGACAAGGCAGGGGATGGTGGGAAAATAAAACTCATTCTTTTGAGTGACGGTGAAACAAATTTAATGCAACAACTAACACCTCAAGTGCCTGTGTCAGACCCCTCTGTGAGATTTAATGTTAAAAACACCTAAAGAAAATCTGTTCATTATTTACACCTATCAGCTACGACATTAAATCCAATTACCTGTCTGTTTGAATATCAGCCTGTCACCCATTCATTTACAGATCAAACACCCAAGTAAACTTTCAATTTATTATCACAGAATTTTGGTTTCTTCGGAGCATGTAAACGCTGTCACTTTAATCATAGTTTTCCCAGTAAACTACTTAAAGTAGGAGAATGTAATGACTGAATGGGATTATCATCACTCAGATCTCAATACAAGTGAATGTGTGTGTAATCTTAGTATTGTCTGTTTCATTAAGGGGACCAAACAGTAAGGCCTAAGACTCTGCGTGCATGGATGAGGATCCTTAAGCCTATATGCTTACTGTACTGCTTTTATTGTGGAGACAATCTGCTTAAGGTCTCATTATGAACCTTGAGTCGTAGGCTGATTATTCGTAGCCACTTGCCTGATCAGTTTAATTGGTGCTGCATGCACACATCAGCTGAAAAAACAAGGGTCAGGGGTCTTTGTCAGGATCCAGTGTTTGGTCTCCATGATCATCTGTCATCCGTTGAGTCTCATGACTGCACATTATTCCATTGAAACTAAATACACTGTGGCCGCAGCGCTCCAGTTCATCTTAACCTCTTTTAAATGGCTCTAAAATTAGAGGTCTCAGGTGAGGCGTAATGTCATAGTAGATGAGCTGATTATGGCAGGTTTAATTATAACTTTGTTGGCTAATGTGTGCGCTCTGCATGTTTTCTCGATGATGAATTATTACACTGTCTGAGAACTCAGACAAAATAGATCAAAGACTCCTCAGCCTGTGAATATCCTCCAGTGGAGGAGCCGACTGGGGCCGACTCTCTGCAGCTCTGACTTTTCATGACAAACAAATTCCTCACGGTCTTTTCGGTTCACTTCTCTTGTTAGCTGCAAGTATGATGGATAACAGTCAGTCCCCTGAATCTTAGCAAACAATCGCAGGTGGCAGACGCAGAAAAAAATGGAATGTTGTTTTTGAATGTGAAATAATAAAATAAAAAAACTCTTTCTAATGGGGTCCTATGTGCCTTGTTGCCGGAGCAATGCCATATCCCATGGTGAATGTGCTAATGGTTCACGGGACTGAGAGGACTGAGCTTAGCCCAGCAGTGTAAACACGCAGACAAAAGGGAGCTGTTAGTAGTGCGAAACACAAGCCTGGGCGCGCAGGTAGGCATTAGGTTTCACCCGACACAGCTCCAGCACTGTATCCATGACAAGAGGAGGAGGCCATTTGCTTTTGTAGCGAAAGAGAGCAAAAACAAACAGTCAAACAGACGAGTACTAGAGGGACAGGTATGGATGAGGTGGGGAGAGAGGCATTCTGGTTTGGAGGGGTGTGAGAGAGAGGGAGGGGCTGCAGAGATAAGGTGGTCTGTGGTCAGCCACAACAAAGAAGTGACCATTTGCTCGTCGTGTTTCTTTATGTTTGTTTGTTTGTTTGCTCGGGGAGGGGTGGAGGGGGGGGGGTCACAAAGTATCAGCCAAACAGAAGCACTGTTACTTCTTGAGTCATCTGAAATAGCAGTAGTAATTCTACTTATATAACATTATAATGAAGCACAGTTACTTATTTAAATACATGTTTATGTGACTCAGCTATTTACATGGTGACCTATGAGACTGTTCACATTTTGAGAACTAGAATAGAACTCAGTAGGGACCATACCACCGCCAAGGTATATACTGTATATCAGTTCACTCAAATATTCATGTTTTTTAAAAATCCATTAGTTATTCCCTGGAAAATTGTTGAAAAAGTCAAAATAACAACCTCGCAATGTGAAAATAACCAATCCTGGATCCGCCCCCTGATCCAGAGCCACACCAAAACATCTTCATTTCATCCATCCAGTAGTTTTTGTGTAATGCTGCCAACTGAGACTAACAAACAAACAAATGCAGATGAGTTATTAGCATTATGCTGCATTTTTAATTGACCATGTAGACTTTCTCAAAATAATAACTTAATTACATCAGTAGTGTTCTTATATCTCTTTTTCCATTGAATACTCCGTTAACAACCAAGCTAATGTGAACCAATATGACTGTAGCGGGATGTAAAGCTTTCTGACTAATTTTAGCATTCAACGTCACTGTGAGGTCCAATTCTTAGTTTTCTTCTATCGCTCAATATCAACACCCATGATGGTATAATATACATTTTTATTTAAAAGCAACCTTTTTAAAGTTAAAAATATGTCCTTTGCAATAGATGTAGAAAGAAGAATTTGCCACAGCACTGATCAGGTTAGCATCACTTGTCATGGGTCACGAGGAGATGGGGGGGCGGGCATTATCTGTTAGTAATATCCCTGGTCCCTCCCTGCTCCTCCTCCCCACCAGGGAATTGGTCAACGTTCAGCTGCCATTAGGGGGATTTCTCCTCCTCAGGACTATTGACCCTCTGAGCTGATTTTTATTTTAGTGGCTTGCCTGAGTTTGTAGGATTTCACAGCTTCAGGTTCAGTGCTGCAGTGGAATGTATATGCAGCATCAAGTGCCCTGTGAAAAAAAAGAAACAGTGTGACGGGGTGACTTCCTCTGTGAAATCAGGCGGGGGACAGAGCTGACACGTGGAATAAATTTCATCCCTGACCTGAACGTCTGTCTCGCTTTCTGCTCCACAGGTGAGAGGATCAACGATGAGCATCTCTGAGTGCGGTCGGCTTGGACTTTTTTAACCAGAACCTTTTTAGTCACAACGCAAACCTGCCACAAACCATCAACGCCAGGCGCCATGGCGTGCTCCCTGTGGAAACTACACACCTTCTGCTGGTTCCTCATCACACTAGCCCAAGTGCACTCCACAGAGGGTAAGTAAAACAGAAGCAGTCATCGTTGTCTTCTATAAAAACATAATGTTTTGATCTTATGCCAGTATTTTTTTATAGGGTCTTTTGAATGAGTATTGTTTCAGGCTCAGTGGCAGCCAGTGCCAGGAATCTCTGTCATCTTACTTATAGCATGAGCAGTGAAATTGTGACTCAAGCCAGAGCAGCTTCTTTGAGTGTGAGCAGTGCTTGTGTAAGTAATGCAGCTCTGAGGACAGTGGGCAGAGGCAGATGGGGGATAATCTTGAGTGGTTTCATTAGTTGGTAAATTGTGATTTGTCTGAGATTTTCTGCTTGAAAGCGTCCGTTGTTCCCAGTGGCATCAGAGCTGGATCCATTAGTAAATTCTTCACTAAAAATGCACGCAGATTTCACACCTCGAAAAGTATAAAGCTGGAATATGCTTTAATCATAGTGTATTAAGTTTTCATTAAATCACTCTCAGCTGTGTCATAATTAAAAGATTTATGCATCTGAACCATGTCTCATAAACTGTATCCCATTCGTATTTGTGTTTAATCAAAGGAATAGAGGCACTTTTCTCAAATGGTTGATGACTTGATTTAGAATAAACTAAAGTTGGCATCTTTTCACTGCAGTTTATCAGAAAAGACATTACAGATTTGGTTTGCCGGTGCCAACATAAGCGCTGGCAAACTGCTCGCTATACGTGCTTTATTGATTTAAAAAAAGTCTCAGTGATGTAATGAGAAGTGTACCTGTGGATTTAGGACACACATGACAGAAATCACTTAAACATGTCTATTTCTAATCATATGTATTCCGTATATGTTGGTAATGCATGCCACGTGCAATACAAGATGTTACAGCTTTAAGATCTGGGTATGTGTAAACCTAGTTAGGGGGAAGGGAAGACAGTTGCCTCCTCATGGAGTTTCTGTCACATGTTTTAGTACATCTGATTTCACAAGGCGTAGTGTGTTGACAGTGTTGGTAAAGTGGGAAGCCAGTGAGGGATTTTGATGAAACTCTGACATCAACTCAATGAAAAAATAAACACAATAAGAAGTGACTTCAATGAGGCAGAAAACCTGAGGTGGAAACTGTAGATACACCCATTTCAAATCAAGGACATCCCATAAACGTCATTTGACATAGTTTCTAAAGCTGCTTTCAGACTTGCTTTCAGCAGCTCCTCCATATTTTCTCCGGAGGACGTGCATGTGCAAACACAAATGTCCGAGTGAGATGATCTGAAGTTTCTGCGGAATTTCGCCGCCTAGCCTCCTAGTATAATGTCCATAGAAATCAGAGTCCGATGTGAGATCACAGCAGGTTTCACCTAAAGTGAGTGGGGGGGTTGATGATGCTGCTAACTTACAACAGATGCAAACATTTAAAAATGGTGTCATACACATAGAAGACACAGACAAAGATGTCAAGAGAGTTTGTGGTGATAAGAGCTGTGTGTTGTTGAGAAAATCATGTGATCTCCACAGCAAAGTTAATATGTCGCTTCCTGCCTCTGTCTGCTGCATGCAGTTGGGTCTGGATATTTTCTGTAGTTCACCTTTCACATATGAAGAATGCAGCTAGAGATTGTTCGGGTCAAACTCGTGCCCGATAACAGGTGAATGTCTGGAACATGCAGGCGAGGGGTGGTGCAAGGGTACAGGAGGCAGGAGGCAGGACGTAATGGAAAAATTCTGCTGCAGAAATCACACGTTTTTGTTTTTGACCCTTCACACCAAAAAGCTCTTCAATTTCCAAGTTGACTGATCTCATTCGTTGTATGCTATATGTACGACACGTCTTTTTCATCTTGAGATATTTGTGTTCTTCCAGTTTCGTGTCCGTCTGGTGTTAGAAATTTCCTCAACACATCCACTCACTTGCTGTCACAATTTCCTGCTGCATTCTCACATGGGCTCACTCCGACATTTTACGGACGTTTTACCAGGGGACTGGCAGCAAAAGTTCCACATGAGAGCAACGTGTTCTCACATTCAGCCCTTCTGGAAAAATCCAGGAAAAAATCTGGACTTCTCTGTAGTTTGGTCAGGGTGCATCTACCAAAGGAAATGTAATAGAGTGAAACTTTGTACTTGGTATGAGAGTCGCTGCTGACAGGTGATTCTGTGAGGTGACACACAGCAGCCTGAACCCTCCCCAGGCAAACAGAGAGCGATAAGTGACTTCAGTTTGGCAGAAAACCTGAAACTGAGGCTGAGGTGGAAACTGTAGAAAACGCCCAATCCAAATCAAGGGAAGAAATGAGTCAACACAACAAAGCACAAAGCCCATTTATTCATGACATTTATCATTCACCTTTTCCTCTCGTTGCACCCCCCACACATTCCCCCTCTCCCACACAATTCCCCCATTTCCCATCACAGCCTCAGAGATCAGCCCACAAACAGTTCATTACAAACAATATCCCCAAGTAAACATGCTTCATTAAACTGCGTCTACCCCTAATATCTTTTTAATGCATTTTTATAATTGAATTAAATGGGTTAGTGGAATGCTGTAAATAGTTTAAAGTTTGTTTTTTTCCCCACTTGTTGTTTTGTGTCTGAAGAAAGAGATGCAAACACACACAGACACAGCCGGGATTGATACTGCAGCTGTGGGGGATTGTGTAATTCTCTGACCTCCTTCTATACAACATTTCTCATTCTGCACAGTTGACTGCATTTGTTTGACTCCTGCACACGTTTGTATCCGCTCAGCTGACTCACCCTTCATCATCCATATTCTTTATTTTCTCTACATCTTAACATTTACATATGTGTGGGGACTACAGCCTGGGAACTACAGCCTTTCAACCTAATGGTATGGAATTAACCATGTTATACACTGTGTGTTTTATCATGATCAGTAAAAAAAAATGAAATGAAGTGACAATCTTGCACTATGGAGATATCATTTGGTCATTTAGAGTCAGTGTACTACTTAAATCCCATGATATTATTTTGCTGTAATGCAGATATTGTTATACAATCTTAAAATAGCCAGCGCTCATACAGTACAGTATGTCCGTAATCATAAAAAGACCCAGGAGTGCTCTCTTGTGACATAGATACTGTAATCAATATTGATGTTAATAGGGAAATCCTGATATGAAATTAAAAATCATGATCTCAAAGAGTCATCATGTGTAAATCTGGCCATTTTACACATCAACTTTTGTTGTAGTTTCCAAAAAATACTAGTCGAGGGATGTCAGAGTCGAGGGTAATGTGGGTTTGGGATAAAGACTTGTATGAGATGGAAAGTCAGCATTTCAAACTGAGGGCGTGGAGTGGACATGAAAGAGGAGCCAACAAAAGACTGATTTAAGATGCGGTTTGGGAGGGGCAGACTTCAGTGCTTTTGGAGCTTGACCCATATCAGAAGGAATATATACATAAAATTTAAAAAAGTATATTGAGAATTTTTCATCAGATTAGGGCTGGATGATATGGACAAAATTAGAAAAAATAAAGCCTAGATAAAAATATTATTTGATATCTTTAATTATCATGATAAATGCCTCATTGTTATTTGTTTTAAGTTTAAATACAAATTGTTGCTCCTATTGATGTATTGAACCCTTGTTAAATACTATTGATGAAAATTATATTGTGATAATTATCGATATTGTTTCATTGCACAGCCCTAATTCAGATGACAATATATGTTCCTCAAGATGTTTATGGACACATCTGTGATCACTTTAATCAGCATGCTTTACTTTGACCTGCTTTGATATTTATTGTTTTACATCAACACAAATTAACCATTGCCCTCTGGCATTTGAAGGGATCTTCTTCTTCGCAGCGGGTTTATTTAGTGTCCTCTGTGAATGTCACCATAGCAACCCAGCAGAAATGAGGTGTAATTTATAATAATACTAATAACTTTATTTGTATAGCACTTATCTAAACAAGGTTACAAGGTGCTTACAAGGTTACAAAGTGTTTATGAAGTAATAATGTTTTATTTTCTTGTTTTGCAATATGTAAAAACAGTGATGATTTTCCAATGCAACACATGATTAAATTGGCTCACATGTCTTTCAAAATAATTTAGTCAAGTCTGGTGGGGTTAAAAGGATTTGTCTGTATCAGCGACAGAATAACAATTCACACCTAGCTCTGCCGTGCTCCCTCTTCAAAGGCTTTTCCAAAGCTTGTTAAAATGACGGCGTCGCAGAATTAGAGAGCAGAGCAAGGATTCTGTGTCAGGAGGTAGAGGGAGGGCAAAGTTTGCAACAAACCAAAGAGTGCTAAGAATAAATCAGGAGAAAATGTGTCTGCGTTAAGTTTTGGTGTTTCAGATGGTGATCCATCTCCACTTATTGTGATCAATATAAATCAGTGTTTCATGGTGGTTTTACAATATGTTTAACACCACACTGCATTGAAATATATTAAAATCAACGTAGGTCATGATTTTATGTAAAAATGATTGAACAACAGTTGTTTTCTCCAGACTCTTATTTCATTATTGTGGAGCTTGTGCTGGTCATGTCTGTGAGGCGAAGGGTATATAAAGAATTTTCTTGATATAAAAGCTGTTCAGTGGCAGAACATGTGTGAACAACCCTGAGACAACACTGAGAATTTCTGTTCGCTCCTTACACCCAGAACCCATGCTATTGTTTCTCCTCAGAGCTTTAAATGTTCGAAGCACTTGAGATTTCTCAAGGGCAACAGCGAAGGGCACCTTTAAGAGTCCTGTTTTTGTACCAAGTGAAAGGAAGAAAGAAAAGACTTAAAAACCGTCACCTCAAAATGAATGGAATGAAATAGACAATCAAGGTGTTCTGAAATGTAATTACTGGAAGTAAAAGCCCACGGCTTAATGTAAGACAGAACTCCAAGAACAGGATCACGCAACTCTCAGTGCTGCGCCACTACCTATTTGCTCTGGTTAGCCATGAAGGCATAACTTCAGGAAGATGACCCGATCCTTCAGTTACTTTTCACCCTGAGCACTTTTCTCCTGAGCAACATCAGTCTGGTAGTTTTCATGTA